TTGAATTAAAAAAAATACTTTTTTACAGAAGCTTTAAAGGGGTATGATTTATATACCATAAAACTCACCCTTTTTTTAAAAAAAATTAATTTATTTTTATTGGAGAATAATTGCTTTACAGAATTTTGCTGTTTTCTGTCAGACCTCAACATGAATCAGCCATAGGAATACATATGTCCCCTCCCTTTTGAACCTCCCTCCCATCTCCCTCCCCATCCCACCCGTCTAGGTTGATACAGAGCCCCTGTTTGAGTTTCCTGAGCCATACAGCAAATTTCGTTGGCTGTCTGTTTTACATATGGTAATGAAAGTTTCCATATTACTCTTTCCATACATCTCACCTCTCCTCCCCTCTCTCCCTGTCCATAAGTCTATTCTCTATACCTGTTTCTCCATTGTTGCCCTGTAAATAAATTCTTTGGTACCATTTTTCTAGATTCCATATATATGTGTTAGAATACGGTATTTATCTTTCTCCTTCTGACTCATTTCACTCTGTATAATAGGTCCTAGGTTCATCCACCTCATTAGAACTAACACAAATGCATTTATTTTTATGGCTGAAAACTCACCCTTTTGAAGTGTACCTTCATTTTTAGTTTTCACAATTGTTTAACTATTACCATGTCCAATTCCAGAACATTATCATTACTTCCAAAAGAAACCCTGTCCCCATTCAAAACCCACTGTCCATCCCCTCCTTCCCCTGTCCCCTTGTCAGCTGTTTAGTCTACTTTGTGTTTTCATGAATTTCCCTTTTCTAGGCATTGATATAAATAGAATTATATCACGTGTGTGGCCTTGTGTATCTGGCTTCTTTCATTTAACGCTGTGTTTTTAAGGTGGCTTTGTGTTGGTCTCAGCCTGTCAATAATGATGCTGTGACTAGGAATGCCTGGGGCAGGGGCTCACCTGGGCCCCACTAGTCACAGCCCCCGAAGACATTTCCCCGATGAGCCAGTGCCATGGTTGGACCTGCCCTTGCACTTCTTACTGTGATTACAAGATGCATCTCAGCGACAACCATCAGGAATCTTTAAAGACATAAGTTTTATTACTGAGCACTCTGGAAGTAGGTGGCACACCAGGGCCACAGCAGAGAAAGAGGGAGAATGTGGACCTGGAGTTCTGCCGATAATTTGGGTCACTGGGGCTTGCTGGTTCATTATTTATTGGTGAATTTAAAATATAATTAAGAATTATAGGCACAGGAAGGAAAGAGCGGGGTCACTCAAATGAGCAGTCATCCAGGTCAGCCAGGGCTTTCTATGAGGGGACTGTCAAGGCCGGCAGCCTGGCTCTTTATCTAGTTGTGTGACTGGAAATGAATTTACCCAAGATTGATGTCTCTGAAGTGGTACCTCAGAAATCAGAAGCTTTCGGTACAATCAGGCATTTGCATTATGGTCAAAAAAAGCTAATTGTCAGATACCTATACAGTGTAGTACAGAAGTTCATCATATAGTAGCATTCTTCAGTGCTTCATTCCTTTTTATGGCTAAATAATGTGTAGATCACATTTGGTTTATCCATTCATCCATTAATAGGTATTTGACTGTTAGAGTCATGCCATTAAAAACATTTGTGTGCAAGCATTTCTGTGGACATAGGCTTTTAATTCTCTTGCGTGGATACTTAGGAATGGGATCTCCAGGTAATACAGTGATTCTGGGTTTAACACCTTGAGAAACTTCCAAGCTGGGTCCAAAGTGGTTGCTCCATTTTACATCCCCACCAGCTGTGCAGGAAGGTGAAAAACTTTACTCTTATATCTTTTTGTCATGTGCTAGGTATCTTGGGTCGTAATAACAGTGATAGAACTGTCATGTCCTATAGCAAACATAAGATGGTTTTAAAATAATAACAGTTTGTTACTACTGACAAGGGTACTAAATGAAGTTTAGTAAGTCTTTATACCTCATTTTATCCGAGGAATACATAGTTAAATACCACATGTTAAGTCAGGAAGAAATATGATTGTCTCATACTTTTGTTTCCAGTTGTGTAAACAAATATATTTGTTGACATTTATTTTCCACTTTACTGATTGCCTTCCCTCCTCCTTTTGATCATGTAAAATATTTACATGATTCAAAACTAGTAATGGAAATAAAAACAAAGGTAAACAAATGGGACTTAATTAAACTTAAAAGCTTTTGCACAGCAAAGGAAACAATAAACAGATTAAAAGACAAACCTCAGAATGGGAGAAAATAACTGCAAATGAAACAACTGACAAAGAATTAATTTCCAAAATAAACAAGCAGTTTATGCAGCTCAATACCAGAAAAACAAACAACCCAATCAAAAAAATGGATGAAAGACATAAACAAACATTCACAAACACATGAAAAGATGCTCACATCACTCTAATGAGAAATGCAAATCAAAACTATGATTAAGTATCACCTCACACTGGTCAGAATGACCATCAATAAAATATCTACAAACAATAAATGCTGGAGAGGATATAGAGAAAAAGGAACCCTCTTGCACTGTTGGTGGTATGTAAATTGATACACTATGGAGATTCCTTGATAAACTAGGAAGAGAACTACTATATGACCCAGCAGTCCCACCACCGGGCATATACCCTGAGGAAACCAAGAGACACATGCACCCTGGTGTTAATTGCAGCACTTTTTTTACAGTAGCTAGGATATGGAAGCAGCCTAGACATCCATTTACAGGTGGATAGATACAGAAATTACTGTACATACATACAATGGAATATTATTCAGCTATAAAAAGAATGCATTCGAGTCAGTCCTAATGAGGTAGATGAACTAGAGCCTGTTTACAGAGTGAAGTAAGTCAGAAAGACAGAGACAGATATTGTATATTAATGTATGTGTATGGAATTCCTCTTCTTTGGAGGAATGTTTGTTTATGTCTTTCGTCCATTGTTTTGATTGGGTTGTTTTTCTGGTATTGAGCTGCATAAGCTGCTTGTTTATTTTGTATATTAATGTATGTGTATGGAATCTAGAAAGATAGTACTGATGAACCTGTTATTTGCAGGGCAGCAATGGAGATGCAGACATAGAGAACAGACTTGTGGACACAGTGGGGAAAGGAGAGGGTAGGACGAATTGAGAGAATAGCATGGAAACATATACATTGCCATATGTAATACAGAAAGGAAGTGCAAATTTGCTTTGTAGACACAGAGAGTACAGAAAGGAAGTGCAAATTTGCTTTGTAGACACAGAGAGCTCAATTTAGTGCTCTGTGACAACCTAGAGGGGTGGGATGGGGTGTGAGATGGGAAAGAGGTTCAGGAGGAAAGGGACATATGTATACCTGTGGCTGATTCATGTTGATGTATGGCAGAAGTCCATACAGTATTATAAAGCAATCATCCTCCAATTTAAAAAAAAAAAAGTGTCTAAAGTAAAAAGATGGACGCATGCCTGCATCCAGACAAGCTTCCATCTCTCCTGCTCTATCCCTTCCCTCCCCCAAAGGTAACCCAAGTTTCTAGTTCATCTTAGTGATTCTTTTGGAAGTAAACACATACACACCTGACCTGACTCAATACTTAGCCTTGTCAGGAAGACTTTTTTCTGCCTCTTGCCCTGGGTTTCCTAGAGCTCAACATGCCCTATATTCTAACGTGTTTCACCCATTTTAACAGCTTGTATTTTCTTCTGGAATCTCAGCTTCTGGAATGAGCATCCTCTGGGCCTTTCCCTCTGACTACTTAATGCCTTTCTGCCTTCCCTTTTCTCCCCTTTTCCTCTCATCCTCTGAATCTCTTTTCTCTTCATCCCTCTCTTTGCCTGAATGTTTTTTTCTTTCTTCTGCTGATTAATTTGGTCTCCATTTCTCAGTGAAGACCCAACCTCCTAGGAGGGACTGTTTGCCCATAATTTCTCAGTGACCCCAGCACTGTTAGGTCACTTAGTGACTTTGGGAGCATCTTTTTTAGTCACCTGCAGCCCTGTGCCTCAGGGGTTCAGATTCCATTTGGGAGGTGCTCTCTCTTTGGGGGTGCTCATTTACTGGTGACTTTGGAGATTGGCGCCTGTGGCCCCTGCTCCCCCTAGCAATGCAGTTAGGTTGCATATGCTAGATTCTGAGGTTTGTAAGGAGCCCTGTCACCTGAGTCCATTTGTCTGTGGTTGTCTCTGGCTTCTTTTACTATTCTGATAGGCCTCTTGTTTCTATTGGGAGATTAAAAGACTACACTGCCACCCTGATCTCGCCCTACTCTCCATGTTTCACAAAAAGTAAGACTCAGTGAGAGAGATTAATTGAGTTGTTCATGGACATCCAGATATTGAGAAGAAACTCTACTGAAACACAGACTGTTTCATCCAAGATCTATTTCCAGTGTCCACCCAGCTAGAGTGAGTGAAAGTGAAAGTCGCTCAGTCGTGTCCGACTCTTTGTGACACCATGGACTATACATACTGTCCATGGAATTCTCCAGGCCAGAATACTGGAGTGGGTAGCCTTTCCCCTTCTCCAGGGGAATCTTCCCAACCCAGGAATCGAACCCAGGTCTCCCGCATTGCAGGTGGCTTCTTTACCAGCTGAGCCACAAGGGAAGCCCAAGAATACTGAGCCCAAGAATACTGCAGTGGGCAGCCTATCCCTTCTCCAGTGTATCTTCCCGATCCAGGAATCAAACTGGGATCTCCTGCATTGCAGGTGGATTCTTTACCAGCTGAGCTATGAGGGAAGCCCAGAAAGCAGGGTCATTTACTCCTTAGCACCTGGCATCATATTGTTTTTAAGTGTCTTCCTGAAGTTGTTTAAATCTCAGGGTTGTTGCTGCTCTTTCGGGGTTCCTGGGGGCCTGTGCAGAGTCTGGGTGGGAGGCTATAGTCAGTGTGCTGGGTTCCCTAGTTCCATTTCCTCTCACTTCTTCCTCCCAGCAGCACTGGCCACAGTCTGCAGAACCCCAGACACAGCTGGGGTAAGTGCATTCACCAGCAAAAGAAACCAAGGTTAGAAATGTGCTCTCAAATGTGTGCTTGCTCTTGGGTCTACAGGTGCCACCTCTCCAGGAGCGAGACAGTTCATGCAATGTGAGCAGAAAGCTCCAAAGTGAGAAATCCATCCTGGGTCAAGGGAACCCTGACCAGAAGCCTCTTCCTGGAGGACCCCTGCAGAGGCCCAGGAGACCTGGGACAGCGCAGGTCCAGGAATGGCTGCTTATTTCCCAGGAGCAGCCGAAAGCTAAGAAATCCTGGGTGAGTCCTTGTTTGTTTATTTCCACTTCTTTTCTTTATTCCTTTTTCATTTTTTTTGGTAGGGAGAGGGATGGAGGTCCTTAGGTGGGAGGGTTAAATTAACTTTCTCCTTAGGTCGTGGAAGGTCCCTGAAGTCCCTGTTTCCTGGTTTCCACAGACTCAATTTTCAGCTCTTCCACCCCGCAATTTTTTAAAATGCATATTGTTCTTTTTATGTGTTTACAAAATGTGTATCATTATTGATGTGAATGCGTTTTTAATATATGTTCATGGCATGTACATGTGTATCTCCTGCTCTATTGCTTATATTTTTCATTAGGCACTTTGTTTCATTAAGCACCATCCTGTTAGATGACCACCAGCAGTGTCTGGGTCTTCCCTTGCCTCACATTCTCCGTCAACTTTTAAGTGCTGTTATTCTTTTTAATTTGAGCCATTCTGGTAGGGTGGTATCACTGTATGGGTTTGCTTTGCATTTCCTGTTAGCATGTTTTTTGTATATTTTGTTACCTCATGTGCATGTTTTATGCCTTTTCTTATCCACTAAAAGGCATTCTTTATATTCTGGAAGCTTCTTAAAAATGCTGTTTCAGGCCCCACCTCAGTCCTGTTGTATCACACTTTTGTTTTAACAAGATTCAGTGATTCATGCACATTGATGTTTAAAGCAAACTTGATACCAAATCCATATTCATGTTTTACTTGCAGTGCCTCTTTCACCTCCAGTATTTTGTTATGACAGTTTTCAAACACAGGGCAAAATTGAAAGCATTTTACAGTGAACATTTATATACTCATCACCTTGAATTTACCTTTAACATTTTTATTGTATTTGTTGTATCACATTGTCCGTCTTTCCATCCCTCTGCATCTCTCATCCCATCTTATTTTTGATGTATTTCTTAATATGTTTCAGGCATCAGCATGCCTCCCTCTAAGTACTTCAGTTTGCATAGCATTAACTGTTGTTCAGTATTTGTTTACAAGCTGGGTTTTTTTTTTTAATTGTTTTGCCTTTTCATTCTGTTAATGCTGTCTTTTGATGAACAGCTGTTGTAATTTTAACTTAATTTATATATATTTTTTATTACTAGTGCTTTTTGTGTCCAACCTAAAAACTTTTTTTTATCCAGAGCTCATGAAGACATCATTCTTTGTTCACATTTATATTTTCACAGGTAGACTCATAATACATGTAGAATTATTTATGTTTGGTGTGAGTAGGAGTCAAGATGTGTTTTTTTCATCATATTGTCTAATTGCCCCGGTCTCACTGAAGTGATTGACCCTGCCTATGTCTCTGCAGTGCCTCCTTGTTGTATATCAGGAGTCCATAAAAATGGGTTGGTTTCACAACTCATTATTTGTTCCATTGGCCTACTTTTCTATCCTTAAGCCAGTTTCACATGATATTTATAATGTCTTGCTATCCAGATGCTTCTGGTTTTAGGTGGTTATGAATGCTGTCAACATGCATGTGTGGGTTTTTGTGTGAACAGGAGTTTTCAGATCAGTTGGGTAAATCTCTAGGAGCTTGATTGCTGGATTGTATGGCGATTCTGTTTAGCTTTGTAAGAGACTGTCTTCAGAGTGGCTTGCAGTTTTGCATTCCCACCTGCAGTGAATGAGAGTCCTTGTTCCTCATCCTGACCAGTACTTGGTATTGTCAAGTTGTTAAACATTTTGCCATTCTAATAGAAGTAAGATGGTATTTCACTGGGGTTTTAAGTTGCATTTTCCTAATGGCTAGCTAGTATTATTATCTTTTTTATGTGTTTTATTCTTTTTATATCTTCGGTGAAATATCTGTTCAGAGCTTTCCCTCATTTTAATAAAAATGGGTTGTTTTCTTGTCATTGGTTCTTTTAAATCTTTTTTTTTTTTTTACTGAGGTATAGTTGATTTACAATATTTCTGTTTTGTAAATAAGCTCATTTGTACCCTTTCTTTAAGATTCCATATATAATTGATATATATCTCTCCTTCTCTGACTTACTTCACTCAGCATGTCAATCTCTAGGTCCATCCATGTGGCTATAAATAGCATTATTTTGTTCTTTTTTATGGCTGAGTGATACTCCATTGTGTGTGTGTGTTCACTCAGTCATGTCTGACTCCTTGCTACCCCATGGACTGCAGCACACCAGGCTTCCCTGTCCTTCACTATCTCCTGGAGTTTGCTCAGACTCATGTGCATTGAATCCATGATGCCATCTACCCATCTCATCCTCTGTCGCCCTCTTCTCCTGCACTCAGTCTTTCTCAGCATCAGGATCTTTTCCAGTGAGTCAGCTCTTCACATCAGTTGGCCAAAGTATTGGAGCTTCAGCTTTAACATCAATCCTTCCAATGAAATATTTGGGGTAGATTTCTTTTAGGATTGACTGGTTTGATCTCCTTGTTGTCCAAGGAACTCTCAAGATTCTTCTCAAGCACCACAGTTTGAAAGCATTAATTCTTTGGCACTCTGCCTTCTTTATGGTACAACTCTCACATCTTTACATGACTCCTGGAAAAACCATAGCTTTGACTGTATGGACCTTTGTCAGCAAAGTGATGTCTCTGCTTTTTAATACACTTTCTAAGTTTGTCATAGCTTTTCTTCCAAGGAGCAAGTGTCCTTTAATTTCATGGTTGCAGTTACCCTCTCTAAATGTGTACATACCACATCTTCTTATCCATTCCTCTGTAGATGGACATTTAGATTGCTTCCATGTCCCGGCTACTGTAAATAATCCTGCAGTGAATATTGGGCTACATGTATCTTTTCAACTTACAGTTTTCTCCAGATATATGCCCAGGAATTGGATATCTGTGTCATATGGTAATTCTCTTTTTAGTTTTCTAAGGAACCTCCATACTTCTACATAGTGGCTGTACCAATTTACATTCCCAATAACAACACAGAGTTCCCTTTTCCCCACACCCTCTCCAGAATCTAGTGTTTGTGGATTTTTTGGATGTTGGCCATTCTGACTGGTGTGAGATGATACCTCACTGTAGTATTGATTTGCATTTCTCTAACAATTAGTGATGTTGAGCATCTTTTTATGTGCTTTTTGGCTATCTCTTGTCATTGATTTTTAAGAGTTCTTTCTTATTCTAGATTTAAATCCTTCATAGGAAAAGTGATTTCCAAATATTTTCTCCCTGTCTCTGGTTTGTCTTTTCATTTCCATGACAACAACTTTCACAGCAAAATATTTTAATTTTGATAAAGTCTGTTTTCTAAATTTTAATTTTTTTAATGGGTTTTGCTTTTGGTATCATATCTAAAATTTCATTGCCCAAAGAAAGATGCACAAAGTAAAATTTTTTTCTCTGAAATTTGTATGGTTTTAGTTTTCACATTAAGTCTATGATCTATTAGTTAATGTTCATATGTGGTATGTTTTGAGGTTCATTTCTTATGTCTATGGATGTACAACGGTCCAGCACCATTTGTTGTAAAGATGATCCTTTCTCTGTTGAAATGCTTTTGTGCCATGTTAAAAAACAACAACAACAAAGTCTTCAAGAGACAGTGTTTATGTGGGTCTATTTCTAGGCTTTCATTTCTGTTCATTGATTTTTGTGCCTAATTTTTCACTAGTATCATGCTATCTAGATTTTATAGGAAGTCTTAAATCAGGCTAGTGGTAAATGCTTAACCTTTGTTCCCTCAGAATCATTCTGGCTGTTCTAGTTTTTTGTCTTTTCATATTAATTATGGAAGAGCTTATGGATAGCTTCAATAAACTTGTTAGTAAATCTACGAATCAAACTAGGGAGAATTTACATCTTAACAATACCGAGTTTTCCAAGCTATGAACACCCTGCATCTTTTCATTATTTTAGATCTTTGATTTCTTAAAGCACTGTTTGTATTTTAGAGCATACATATTTCTACATACATATTTTATCATCTTAACCATTTTAAGTGACAGTTCAGTGGTATTAAATTTATTCTTTTTATTTATTTATTTTTGGAGGCACTTGGTCTTCGTTGCTTTTGCGAGGGCTTTCTCTAGTTGGGGGCCACTCTTTGTTGTGATGCTCAGGCCTCTCAATGTGGTGGCCTCCTCTGTTGTGGAGCACTGGCCCTAGGCATGGGCTTCAGTAGTTGCAGCGCACTAGCTCAGTAGTTGCAGCTCTCAGGTTCTAGAGTGTGGTGGTCTCAGTAGTTGTGCATAGGCTTAGTTGCTCTGCAATGTAGGGAATCTTCCTGGACCAGGGATCGAACCCATGTCTTCTGCATTGGCAGGCATGCTCCTGTCCACTGCCCTACTAGGGAAATCCTTAAATACATTCATAAAATTGGCAATCATAACTATCATCTGTCTCCACAACTCTTCCTCTTGAAAAACTGCAGGTCTATACCATCAAAACCATAACTCCCAACTCCCCCCTCTCCATAAGCCTTGGCAAGCACCATTCTACTTTCTGTTTCTATGATTTTGACTACTAGTAGTACATACAGTACTTGTAGGTATACAGACATACAGTAATGGTCTTTTTGTGACTGACTTATCTCACTTGACATAATGTTCTCAAGGTTCTCTCTGGTTATGTTGCAGAACTTTCTTCCTTTTTAAGACAATAATAATTTGTTGTATGTATATATCACACTTTGTTTATCCATTCATCCATCAATGGACACTTGTACTACTTTCACGTTTGAGCCTCTGTGAATGAAAATGCTGATATAAGCATGGATATACAGATATCTCCTTAAGACTCTGCTTTCACTTCCTTTAGAGATATACCCAGAATTGAAGTTCCAGGACCATAAGGTAATTCTAATGTTTAATTTTTTGAGGGGCCATCAAACTGTCTTCCACAGCAATTACACCACTTTACATCCCTACCAACCATGTGCAAGTGTTCCAGTTAATCTGTATCCTTGCCAGCCCTTGTTATTTTCATGGTATTTGAGAGCCATCCTAATAGGTGTAAGACGAATCTTATTATAGTTTTGATTTGCATTTTCCTTATGATTAGTGATGTTCACCATCTTCATGTGTTTATTGGCCATTTGTATCTTCCTTGGGAAAATGTCTATTTATATCCTTTGGTCACTTTTGAAGAATTTTTTGTTGTTGTTGAGTTTAAGTTCTTTATGTATTCTGGATATTAACCCCTTATAAAATACATGACTTGCAGATACTTTCTCCCATTTTGGGAGCTGCCTTTTTACAACGTTGATATTGTGTTTTGATGCAAAAAATTTTTAAATTTTCATGAAGTCCAATTGATTGGTGTTTTCTTTTGTTGCTTGTGCCTTTTGTCATATTCAAGAAAGCATTGTCAAATCTAACATCAGGAAGCTTTTGTTGCTGTGTTTTCCTCTGAAGAGTTTTACATAGTTTTAGGTTTTACATTTAGGTCTTTGATCTATTTTGAGTTTGTTTTTATATATGGTATTAGATAAGGGTCCAACTTCATTTTTTTCATGTGGATATCCAGTTTTCCCAGCATCATTTAGTGGCATTTAGTGGAAAGACTTTTCTCTCCCCATAAATGGCCTTGGAACCATTGTCAACAATCATTTAACCATATATGCAAGAGTTTGTTTCTGGACTCTCTTCTATTCCATTGTTACCATGTTGTATGTCAGTCTTTCAGTCTTTATGCCAGTATCACATTATTTTGGTTACTAGTTTTCTACTAAGTTTTGAAATTAGGAAGTATGAGTCCTCCAGTTTTGTTCTTTTTCAAGATTGTTTTGGCTATTCAATGTCCTTTGAGCTTTTTTATACATTTTAGGATGGGGTTTTCTATTTCTGGAAAAAAATAGCATTGAAATTTTATTAGGGATTGCATTGACTATGTAGATCACTTTGGATACTACTAACATATTATTAAGGAACATAAAGTATGTTTCTATTTATTTATGTCTCGTTTATTTTAACAAGATTTTTAGTTTTCATTTTGCAAGCCATTTACTTCCTAGGTTAAGTAATTTCTTCCTTTTAACAATGTATTTATTTATTTATTTTTCATTGCACTGGGTCTTTGTTGCTGCGCATGGGCTTTCTCTAATTGCGGAGAGTGCACAGACTGCACTTGGTTGCAGTGCATGGGCTTCTCTTCGCTGTGGCTTCTCTTGTTACAGAGCACAGGCTCTAGGTGCATGGCTTCAGTAGTTGCAGTGTGTGGGCTCTAGGTTGCCCTGGTTTCAGTAGTTGTGGCACAGGAGCTCATTAGTTATGTCTTGGGCCCTAGAGCGCAGACTCATTAGTTGTAGCATGTGGGCTTTAGTTGCCCAGAGCATGTAGAATCTTTTCAGACCAGAAATTGAACCAGTGTCCCCTGCACTGAAAGGCAGATTCCTATCCACTGTAACACCAGGGAAGTCCAAATTATTACTTCTTTATGATGCTGTTATAAATGGAATCATTTTTATAATTTGCTTTTCTGATAGATCGTTGTTAGTGCGTACAAACGCAGCTCATTTGGTGGGTGACTTTGTGTCCTGTTACTTGCTGAATTCATTTATTCTAACGAGGTTTTCTGTCTGTGTGTGTATGTGTGTGGAATCTTTAAGGTTTTCTATGTATAGGATGATACTGTCCATGAACAGAGAAATAATTTTATTCCATTTCTAATTTGGATCCCTATGATTTCTTTTTCTTGCCCAGTGGCTCTGACTAGAACTTCCAGTGCTGTGTTAAATACAAGTGGTGAAAGCAGGCATTGGTTCCTTATTCCTGACCTTAGAGGAAAAGCTTTTCTTTCACCATTGAGTATGATGTTCACTGTGGGATTTTAAGATATGACTTTTATTATGTTGAAATACTTTCCTTCTGTTCCTACTTCATTGAGTATTTTTATCATGAAAGAGTGTGCAATTTTGTCAGTGCTTCAATTGAGATAATCTTTGAGATAATCATTTTTTCAACTTCATTCTGTTAATGTGATGTATTACACTGAGCAGTTTTCCAATGTTGAACCATTCTTGCATTCCAAAAATAAATCCCATTTGTCATCATGTATAATCTTTTTAATAAGCTTCCTAAAGTTATAGCATTCTGATTTGAATTTATGCCAGCTTAACTTCAGTGACATACAAACACTGCTCCTTTACCATTCTGTCCCAACTCCTTTTGGTTGTTGATGTCACATGTTTATACATTGTGTGCCCCAAACCATAAACTAACAATTATTTCAAATGCATTAGTCTCTTATAAGTATATAGAGGACGAAATGTAGAGTTACAAATCAAAGTTGAAATAATACTACCATTAATGATTACACAGGTATTTACCTTTATTCAGATCTTTATTTCTTCAAAACAGCTTCAAGTTATTGTGTAGTGTGGTTTCATTTCACCTGCAGGACTCCTTTGAACATTTCTTTCCAAATAGGTTTAGTGGTAGCAAACTGCCTTTTGTTTTTCTGGGGATGTATTCATTTCTGCCTCACTGTAAAGCACAATTTTGTCATGTACAGAATTCTTGACTGATAGTTTTTTTTTTTCTTATAGCTCTTGAATATATGGACTCATAGTCTTCCGGTCTCCAAAGGCTCTGATGAGAAATCTGCTTATAATGTTACTGAGGACCTCTTGTATGAAACTAATCATTTCTTTCTTGATACTTTCAAGGTTCTTTCTGTCTTTGTGTTTATCTATTGAAAATTTGAGTGTATGTTTCTTTAAGGTTTCATCATTTTTGGAGTTTGTTGAACTTCTTGGATGTTTATATCCATATCTTTCATCAAATTTAAAATTTCATTTTCAAATTCATTGTTGCCCATTTTTGAAAATTTTAGCCATTCTAGGTATGTAATGGTCTCTCACTGTTTTAATTTGTAGTTCCCTAATGATATATAATGTTGAGCACCTTTTCATGTGCTGTATCTATGTATCATCATGCTCAGATCTGTTGCCCCACAAAGTAGCTGCTACTTACAGCTCTTAACTTTATTCCACCAAATTTTGACATATCTTTCTTCAGTGGTGACTCCTTTAGTCCCCTTTCATGGACTCAGCCTAATGTATCCTCCCTTATGCCTGTGTTCTCCACATGTTCTTTTGTCTTAGCATCTTTGATTCCCTATTACATTTTTACATATTTAACCTTTGTTTTTATCTACAATGCTGAACACTTCTTGCAGGCAGGACTGCCTTTCCTCCATTTTATATTACCTGCACTAGGTTGAATACCTGACACATGGTGTTCTCTTGTGTTGAATGAAAGGTTAACTGATTTAATGCATATTGATGGGGTATTTTCAGTAAATTTTGGTTTTCTCCCAAAATATTAAAGAATATAAATAATGGACAGCCTTGGCTGGCTTTTATGACAAACTCAGTAAAATGATTTGAGATTGAATAGGGATTTGCTATTTCAGGGACATTTGTCATTCATGGATGTGTTTGTGGACTTTACCTGGGAAGAGTGGCAGCTGCTGGACTCAGCTCAGAAGCACCTGTACAGGAGTGTGATGTTGGAGAACTACAGCAACCTGGTGTCCCTGGGTACGTACTTCCCCCTTGAAAGGAGTAAATCTCCAGGCTTCCTCTTCTTGGTGGCTGAAAACTGAAGCACTTTTGTAAAATACTGGGTGATTTGGGGCTTATACTTAGAGGCCAGGTTTTCTTATTCTTCCTTTGGCATCAGAATATGCTGGTTGAATGGTGTTTACTTTGCTAGAGTGCAAAAGGGCAGCTTCACCATTGTCACATCTAAACTAAATTTTCTCGATTTTTCTGAATCCCTAGGCAGTCTTGATCCAGATTGTCTATAATTTTCCATTCATAGGATATCAGTACACCAAACCCAGTATCATTTTCCAGTTGGAACAAGAAGAGCTGTGGATGATGCACAGCCCAAGTCAGGACCATTCAGGTGAGTGACCAGAACATTTACATCTTTTCCTCCTTACTCAGAATCAGTGTGAGGTCTGACGTTATGTTCTTTTGTGTTTGTACTTTTATGTTATTTGTAACCATCTTTTGCTCATTATCTCTTCTCTGGTATTCTTAGCTTCCTTCTTACTTTTCTGAGGTAGTAGACTCATCTCATTATTCATTTAAGCACCTTTATCTGTTTATCTCATTTCATGTGACTTTCACACCCTTTCTAAATAAAGTTAATCTTCCTAATATTAGAATTGTTTCAGCTGCAATTTTTAATTAACCTTAAATCAACCTATAAGATGAAGTGGTTCATTATCACACATTACAAAATGTCCTAAGGTGGGTCAGCTCTACGGATGACTAAGTGATTGACTCACTAAACTGCCACAGGTCTACCCCTTCCTTGCCATTCTAACTATGTATTTTCCTCAAATTTCCTCCTTCATAGTCATCAGATGGCTATGACAGTTCCAGGCAATACCTGCAAATGTACCAGTGACCAGTGTAATAAATAAAGACTGTTCCTTCCCACATGGCCCTTTTTATCAGACATTAAAATCTATTTCAGGAAGCCCCAGCAGACTTAACCTTGTTCAGCAGGCTAGATTTTTATCATATACCCTTTGTAAAAATGATTGGCAAGGGAAATGGCAAGCTGTCACTGTTGACTCAGATAAATCATGCTTCCCCTTCGGCAGGGGGTATGGAGATGGGTTGCCAGTTTCCTACCTGAAGCACATGGCCTTATGGATGGAGGTAGAACATAAAATCAGGTTTCTGCCAGCCAAGAGAAGGGCAGCAGAACTGTCAGTTAGGCAGCAGTGTCCACCTTCATCTTCCTTTTTGGTGAGGAAGCATCCAGTCACACCCATCTTTCCACCCGTCCATCTTCAAAAATACTCTATCCACCCCTCTTTTCATTCTTACACTATATTAGTGCAAGTCTAGATCCTTGTTTCTAATCAGAGCTGGTAGTGGTTCTTCATGGTCTGGTGATCTCTAATTAAAATTATCCAAAAAAATAAAATAAAATTATCCACACTCATCTCAAACGCTAGCAAAGGAATGCTCCAAATTCTCCAAGCTAGGCTTCAACAGTACGTAAACTGTGAACTTCCAGATGTTCAAGCTGGATTTAGAAAAGGCAAAGGAGCCAGAGATCAAATTGCCAACATCCTTTGGATCATTGAAAAAGCAAGAGTTCCAGAAAAACATCTACTTCTGCCTTATTGACTATGCCAAAGCCTTTGACTGTGTGGATCACAACAAACTATGGAAAATTCTTAAAGAGATGGGAATACCAGACCACCTGACCTACCTCCTGAGAAATCTGTATGCAAGTCAAGAAGTAACAGTTAGAACTGGATATGGAACAACAGACTGGTTCCAAATTGGGAAAGGAGTGCATCAAGGCTGTATATTTTCATGCTGCTTATTTAACTTATATGCAGAGTACATCATGCAAAATGTCGGGCTGGATGAAGCACAAGCTGGAATCAAGATTGCCGGGAGAAATGTCAATAACCTCAGATTCACAGATGATACCACCCTTATGGCATAAAGTGAAGAACTAAAGAGCCTCTTGATGAAAGTGAAAGAGGAGAGTGAAAAAGTTGGCTTAAAGCTCAACATTCAAAAAACTAAGATCATGGTCTGGTCCCATCACTTCATGGCAAATAGATGGGGAAACAGTGGAAACAGTGACAGACTTTATATTTTTGGGCTTCAAAATCACTGCAGATGGTGAGTGCAGCCATAAAATTAAAAGATGCTTGCTTCTTTGGAGAAAAGCTGTGACAAACTTCGATAGCATATTAAAAACCAGAGATACTTACTTTGCCCACAAAGGTCCATTTAGTCAAAGCTATGGTTTTTCCAGTAGTCATATATGGATGTGAGAGTTGGATTATAAAGAAAGCTGAGTGCAGAAGAATTGATGCTTTTGGACCGTGTCGTTGGAGAAGACTCTTGAGAGTCCCTTGGACTGCAAGGAGATCCAACCAGTCAATCCTAAAGGAAATCAGTCGTGAATATTCATTGGAAGGACTGATGCTGAAGCTGAAACTCCCAATATTTTGGCCACCTAATGCAAAGAACTGACTCATTGGAAAAGACCCTGATGCTGGGAAAGATTGAAGGCAGGAGAAGGGGATGACAGGATGAGATGGTTGGTTAGCAACACCGACTTGATAGACATGAGTTTGAGCAAGCTCTGGGAGTTGGTGATGGACAGGGAAGCCTGCAGTGCTGCAGTTCATGGGGTCGCAAAGAGTCGGACATGACTGAACTGAACTGCACCAAAAGAATATTTACTTAGACATGTGAAGAAGAGTCGGGGGGGGGGGGGTAAATTCTAAATTCATGAATGATGACAGAGAAAACTTGGCAGCTAAGTAAAAAACTCAAGAGAAAAAATGATTTATGAACAAAAACTAACCATGGTACACTTGCATGATTTACCTGTGGATAGAAATTGCATGGTTGTGAAGATGTAAAACCTGAAAACTGATTTAAGCAAAAATATGAAATAGCTTGATTAGGATGGTGCAGGTATGGGAAGAGAGTGTGTACATCATGTGTAATATTAAGGGAGGAGGATGAAAGGAATTCAATCTCTACCCTACACACTGAGTAATTAGGAGAAAACCAAGTACAACAGAATAGGCTGTTATTTAGAAAACATGGAGAAAAATACCATAAGAAAGAGCTAAGAGACAAAACTTTTTTCCTCTGAGGAGAATGAAAAACAGAGAGGCAAGGTGAGCAGATGCTATTTAAACATTAACTACCCCCTCCCCCCACCAAATTCCAAAAATACAAAATAGATAAAGATCAAGACACAGGTCTGAGTTCTTATGCACAATGAGAAATATTTGGAGGTTGAGTAGAAGAGAGAATGGGTAGAGTTGACCTGTTAATAGATATACCAGAGTAACATGCTGACCAAGGTGAAGGACAGAGCAGGGCATTGAGAGAACACAACAGAAGGGCAGCTTTGAAGAAGCAACATCACAGGGTCTTAATCCCTCATACCAGGTTTCTCTACATCCTAAATCTGAACCTTTATTCATTTGTACACAAACCTCCAAATTATAAATGTTCCCAAACATCAATTCCCATTTAGGGCAGTATCTACCCCCATGAAAAATGAAAATTTTAATTTTGCTCATTTTTTTCCTTGTACTTTCTTTTTTTTTCTTTTTTTTTTTTTAAATTTTGGTTACACTGCACAAAGAATCTTCATTGTGGCATTCAGTTGGATCACACAGTCTTAGTTGCCCTGCAGTATGTGGGTTCTTAGTTCCACAACCAGGAATCAAATCAGCATCCCCTGCATTGGAAGATTGATTCTTAACCACTGGGCCACCAGGGAAGTCCCTCCATGTGCTTTCCAAAGAAGCTATTATACAAAATTTTGAAACTCAAAGCTATATTTATTGTCAGATCTCTATGCCTGTTTTCATGTTTTGATTTGTTTTGTTTCTGCAGGTGCCCAGGAGTTTGTGTACATTTATGTTTGAGATTTTTTTTATATTCAGAACTGATATCGGAAACTAAGAAAAACCTCATGACATGGAATTTTTAAGGCAATTTTATGCTATACTATGATCATGTCACTATTTATAACATATCAGTATTTTCATTTCTAGACGAAGTCTGGGAAATTGATGGTTGTGTGGAATGGCATCAGGAAAATCAAGGCAAGCTGGGAAGTATGGCAGAAGGCTATCCCTGTACTGCATTTGGAAAACTGTGTCTTATTACTGTAAGTAATGCTTCTTCAAGACAAAGATTTCATAAATGTGTCACAAATGGAAAGAGTTTGAAATGTAATATAGGTTTCAGTAATAATTACACTGGAAAGAATCCTAAGGACTTTCATGCATTGAGGGAACCATCCTTCCTTTCTAAACATGAACAGGCTGTTATTGGCGTAAAATACTGTGAAAGTGATGAATCTGAAAAAACTGCCAACAGAAAGCCACAGCTTATTTGCCAACAAATGCATATGGGAGGAAAATCATTTGAATGCAGTTCCTGTGGGAAGGACTTCAGCAGCCAGTCGAACCTTGTGGTGCATCAGGAAACTCATGAAGAAGCAAAACCCTACAAGTGTGGATGTGGGAAAGCCTTCAGCAGCAAGTCCTACCTCATTGCACATCAGAGAACTCACACAGGAGAGAAACTACATGAATGCAGTGATTGTCAGAAAACTTTTAGTTTCAATTCACAACTTGTTATACATCAGAGAATTCATACACAGGAGAATCCCTATGAATGCTGTGAATGCGGGAAAGTCTTCACTAGGAGAGACCAGCTTGTTTCCCACCAGAGAACTCATTCAGGACTGAAACCCTATGGATGTCATGAATGTGGGAAAGCTTTTGGTTTGAAATCACAGCTCATTATACATCAAAGAATTCATACTGGAGAGAAACCCTATGAATGCAGTGATTGTCGGAAAGCCTTTAATACAAAGTCTAACCTCATGGTACATCAGAGAACTCACACAGGAGAGAAACCTTATAGTTGTAGTGAATGTGGGAAAGCTTTTACTTTCAAGTCACAGCTCATTGTACATCAGGGTGCACACAGTGGCGTCAAACCCTATGGATGTAATCAATGTGGAAAAGCTTTCAGTTTGAAGTCACAACTCATTGTACATCAGAGAAGTCACACAGAAGTGAAACCCTATGGATGCAATGAATGTGGGAAAGCTTTTCGGAGCAAGTCATACCTCATTATACATCAGAGAACTCACACAGGAGAGAAACTCCATGAATGCTGTGAATGTGGGAGAGCCTTCAGTTTTAATTCGCAACTTGTTATACATCAGAGAATTCACACAGGGGAGAATCCCTATGGATGCAGTGAGTGTGGGAAATCCTTCAGTCGGAAATATCAGCTCATTTCACACCAGAGAACTCATGCAGGGGAGAAGCCCTATGAATGCAGTGATTGTGGGAAAACTTTTGGTTTGAAATCACAGCTCGTGATACATCAACGAACTCATACAGGAGAGAAGCCCTATGAATGTAGTGAATGTCAGAAAGCCTTTAATACAAAGTCAAACCTTATTGTACATCAGAGAACCCACACAGGAGAAAAACCATATGGTTGTAGTGAATGTGGGAAATCCTTTACTTTTAAATCACAGCTCATTGTACATCAGGGAGCACACACTGGGGTAAAACCCTATGGATGTAATCAGTGTGGAAAAGCCTTCAGTTTGAAGTCACAGCTCATTGTACATCAGAGAAGTCACACAGGATTGAAACCCTATGGGTGCATTGAATGTGGGAAAGCTTTTAGGAGCAAGTCCTACCTCATCATACATACAAGGACTCACACAGGGGAGAAGCCACATGAATGCAGTGAATGTGGTAAATCCTTCAGTTTTAACTCACAACTTATTGTACATCAGAGAATTCATACAGGAGAGAGTCCCTATGAATGCAGTGATTGTGGGAAAGCCTTTAATAGGAAAGACCAGCTCATCTCACATCAGCGAACTCATGCAGGGGAAAAACCTTATGGGTGCAGTGAGTGTGGGAAAGCGTTTAGTAGCAAGTCATATCTCATTATACACATGAGAACTCATTCAGGAGAGAAACCATATGAATGTCACAAATGTAGGAAAGCCTTCATTTGGAAGTCACTACTCATTGTACATGAAAGAACTCATGCAGGGGAAAACCCTTATAAATGCAGTCAGTGTGAGAAATCCTTCAGTGGGAAATTACGGCTCCTTGTACATCAGAGAATGCACATGAGAGAGAAGCCCTATGAATGCAATGAGTGTGAAAAAGCCTTCATTAGGAAGTCTCAGCTCATTGTACATCAGAGGACTCATTCAGGGGAGAAACCGTATGAATGCAGTGAGTGCAGAAAAACTTTCTCTCAGAAATCAATTCTCAGTGCACATCAGAGGACTCATACTGGAGAGAAACCCTGTAAATGCACTGAATGTGGGAAAGCCTTTTGTTGGAAGTCACAACTCATTATGCATCAGAGAACTCATGCAGATGAGAAACATACTGGTGAGTTAAATATAAGAAACTTTCTCTCAAAAGTGAATTCACAGGAATTCCTAGAAAATTCATACAGGAGAGAAACTTTATAAATGGAATCATCTCATTGTACACCATGTATATATGGCATGTGGAAAGGAACCCACAGAAAGCTGTTTTTTATACACACACAAAAAAAATCAGTAAATGTACACAGGAACTGTATGAATTCAGTGAACCCTCTGAAAGTTCTTAGCAGGAAATCGTACCATGTCTTTAAATTTGTGCAGTTGAGGAACAATATGAATTAAGTGAATATTAGAAACTCATTTCTTTTGTTGGGGGGTTGTAGGAAAGATCCTTTTATTTCTTAACATGCTAACATCTGCAAAGAGTTAATTCCATAATGCAAATGAATATAGAATACAGTCCTTTGAAATTCATAATTTATTGGAATTAGAATTTTAATGACAAATTTTGTAATGACAAATTTTAATGACAAAACATGTAAATTGAATGTATTGCAGAAGCTTATATGTTGGAGAAACCATGATATAAAGTTAAGGAAATTCTTCATCTAGAAATGACAGGCTTCTAATAAAAAAGTAAAAATGAATGAGTAAAGATCTATGAGTATTTTTTAAGCCTCTACAGGGAGGTTTATTATTTTGATTCATCTGGAGAAAAATTTTCCTTTATAAATTTAGGGGAAATTATGCTCCAAATTATGCTTCTAAACTCAGGAAAAGCCTGTAAAAAAACTATCCAACTCTCAGTGATCAATATTTTATAGACTATAAAGATTTTCTAACCTGAGTAAATGTAATAATCATGATAACAATAAGGATTACATCAGAAGACCTGCAGTGATGTTTAGGTGTTTTCTTCCTTTCTGTACTATAAAATATGTTTTGTGGACTTTGGCATATTCTTATGGATGCCACATTTGATAAATAAATTAACTAGATAACAATACTGTTTCCCAGGGATTTATACTCTGCATGGCAACATCCTTCTTTAAAATACAACTTGTTACTAGAATAATATGGCATATAAATGCATTTCAGTACTTTTAAATCTTTACTATTGTTTTGTACCTTCTGTAAATGGACCTGAAAGCTCTCTCTTCAGTTATATAATCAATATAGCTCACATTTCATGTGGTTGCATATCTGGAATCTGTCCTGCCCTCTTTGATTAGAATACCTTGATTTCCTTTAAGAGAATTGACAGTGTATGCAATGTATGCATGATCAGATCATCATTCAAGGTACCCTGTCAGGAGTTGGCTGAGAGAGTCTAGAGTTTAAATTTTTAATGGACTCCTTAGTACAGAAAATCAAACTTAGCTTTTGTTCTCGAGTAACATCTTACTGCAAATATTAATTAGTTCCTTCTATATAGATTACCCAGAATAGCTTTAGTTGTTGTCACTTCTTAATCCTAGTTCACTTCTCTCTTAATTTGAGCTATCTGGTATCCTTCTCAGTACATTTAAATGATACCTTTAAGTGATGCTGCTGAAGTGTGCATGTATAGCTGTAGATTCAGGGCATGAAAAGTCGTTCTACCAGTGGCTTCCTTACAAAATCATTTTTTTTTTTCATAACCTCACCAATTACCTTTTATGTATTAGCATTAATCTGGAAAGAGCTAGAACCCTGAAAATAAGTTTAGGGCTATCTTGGAGGAATATGAGGATTTAAAACTGCAGATACTTCTGAAACAACCACTACTTTGTGCCCTTCAGTGGGGAATCCCATTGCTTACCCAGAGAAACTGTTTCTTCTGTGAAGGATATAGTTACTTGATTTCTGAATGCTTAATCCTTATGTAGGATACAAAGTTAAGAAACTTGGAGTGAAGAGTGATGACTCACAGAAGGGAAGAGAAGGCTCGCATAAGGAAAGAATTTCAGATATTTGCTATCGTCTATCCCCTAAACCTGGAAAATGTCATGAATATGTATTTTGTCATTGATGTTCCAAGGAAGATACATACACATAATAAAGAATAAACATATTCTGTGTCCCACTCTCCAAGGTCTATTAGATTTTAAAGGCCTTCATTGTGTGATTCACATTCACATGCAGCCTCCTCCAGTAGAAGCCAGAGATGTCAGTGTAATGTTGGAGATGTAAATCAAGTACTGTGTGAAAGGATATTGGTGGATTGGGTTTGATCTTAAATGGAAAGTTTTCCAAGTGAATGAAACTAAGCAAAAATGAATAGATTTTTGTAAGCAAAAACGAAGAGTTAAAAATTGAATCTCTGGCTTGAAAATCTACCTAGTTCCTCTGACTCTACCCTAGCCCCAGAAAAGAAAGATGTTCCTGAGACTTTCAGTAATAGTTGATATTTTTCAGGAACATTAAGGGAATGATGATTCTGATGTTTTAGTGTTTCACAGGAATTAGACATTTTGGGGGAAAATGACAAAGTCATTTGTGAACATGTAGTAGATTTTAAAATCCTAAATGGAATTATAGCAAAAAGGGATCCCATAATATATAGTTTTTATCTTGTTAGGTCGTGACATTATTTAGTGTAGCAGACTGTTAGTAGGGAACCCAGTATTTTATTACCGACAGTATCACTGTATTTTTCATAATGTTAATGTGCCTGGCTACATTTTTCCATTCTCTTTGTAGTTAAGTGTAATCATGCTGCTAATTCTGAATAATGAAATGGAAATAAGAGTTACTGAGGAATAAAGTGAAGGTTTTCCTGAAGAAAAACATGTGAGAGAAGCCCCCTAGTGTCCTTTAATCTTTTCTTTTTAATATGCAGTATGCCAGGTGTTGGGAGACTCAGCAGCCATCCTAGAACCTGAATTCCTCTTGAGGATGGAAGCCATCTGCTTGAGTGTAGTAGAGAGAGAAGAGTGATGTGGCTCTCTGGTAATGATGTAGCTGCTATACCAACCCTAGACTACCAAATCTGGGCATGTTTTTACACAAAAGAAAGGTGAACTGTCTTGTCCAAGTCTTTTTTGTTGTCGGGAGGAGACTTGGTTCTGTTATGTGCACCTGAATCAGATCCTAATTAAAACATATTAGGATGCTTGGAACATTTAATGTTAAAAAATCTTTTTGTAAAATTAATCACTACTTGGCGCAGGGGGAGCCATGAGTAGTATCTCAGTGTGTAGATAAATCTGTTGATGGGCTAGAATTCCTATAGATGATTTTAATTTATTATTAAATTAGAGACAGAAGTTAAATTCTTTGCAAGCAGTATGTTCCAAAAACTGATAACTGTCATACTTTATGATAAAACAGTAATTTAAACAGTATAGCTTTAAATGAAATGTTTTATATTAAGAACATTTAAAGCATGCTTATCAATTTTATTGAGCAATCTAATGGCAGTTCTAGTCAATACGTGACAACAAAAAGTTGTAAGGAATTGGGGTTTGGGGCAGAAACAAAAATCCAATTGTGTGCAGATGTGATTGTCTTATTTAGAAAAACCAAAATAACCTATAGGTAAATACTTAAACTACAGGCTTTAAGGCAAGATGTTTTGTACAGCTCTGAAAGCTGGCAGCTTGACTGTGAGCACAAGCAGACCTCTACATCTTTGTGCTCAGATTGATCTGCCCTCAAAATATCTGAAGGCAGTTTTGCAGTAAATCAACTGAAAGCTTCAACAAACCTTAGTTGAAGTACAGATCAGATTGAGTCATCCTTACCCTATTTCCCAGTCTAAAAGCTGACACCCTTTTCTGGAAGTAAATATATATTCAGAGCAGAGTAAATACATATTCAGAGCAAAGGAAATTATCAGGAATATATAGATACCTTATATAATGAAAAGTATCATTTTACCAATAAGATGATTCTACATGTGCAGGCACTTAAAGCATCAAAATCATGCAAAAACAAAGCTTTATATACTCTTACCAGTTTAGTTGGACACTTCAACATTTATTTCTCAGTAGCATAACTTGGAGATCAAAAGTAAACAAGACTGTGGAAGCACTGGGTAATGCCATCAACAAACTAGACTTGGTAACACATCTAAAACATCTGACAGCAGAACACACATTCTTTCCAATTGCACATGAAGCATTCATCAATACAGACTATATACTGGGACATTAATTACAAAATTTTTCAAATAACTGAAATCATACAAAATGTCTTCAGACTGTAATGCAGCTTTACAAGAAACCAATTGCAAAAAGAACAGGAAAATCCCCAAACACTTAGAAATGAACACAATTACAGTCCTAGATATTTCAAGAAAAATATGGAAAATAAACATACACAAGTTAAAATACAACGTTGATTTTTTTTTTTTTTTGAGATGCAGATAAAGCAGTGCCTAGAGAGAATGACAGAATGTGGTCCACTGGAGAAGGGAATGGCAAACCACTTCAGTATTCTTGCCTTGAGAACCCCATGAACAAGTATGAAAAGGCAAAATGATAGGATACTGAAAGAGGAACTCCCCAGGTCGGTAGGTGCCCAATATGCTACTGGAGATCAGTGGAGAAATAACTCCAGAAAGAATGAAGGGATGGAGCCAAAGCAAAAACAATACCCAGTTGTGGATGGGACTGGTGATAGAAGCATGGTCTGATGCTGTAAAGAGCAGTATTGCATAGGAACCTGGAATGTTAGGTCCATGAATCAAGGCAAATTGGAAGTGGTCAAACAGGAGATGGGAAGAGTGAATGTCAACATTCTAGGAATCAGCGAACTAAAATGGACTGGAATGGGTGAATTTAACTCAGATGACCATTATATCTACTACTGTGGGCAGGAATCGCTTAGAAGAAATGGAGTAGCCATCATGGTCAATGAAAGAGTCCAAAATGCAGTACTTGCATGCAGTCTTAAAAACAACAGAAGGATCTCTGTTCATTTCCAAGGCAAACCATTCAATATCACGGTAATCCAAGCCTATGCCCCAACCAGTAACGCTGAAGAAGCTGAAGTTGAACAGTTCTATGAAGACCTACAAGACTTTTTAGAACTAACATGCAAAAAAGATGTCCTTTTCATTATAGGGGGCTGGAATGCAAAAGCAGGAAGTTGGCCTTGGAGTATGAAAGGAAGCAGGGCAAAGGCTAATAGAGTTTTGCCAAGAGAATGCACTGGTCATAGCAAACACCCTCTTCCAACACCACATCCACAACACATGGATGTCACCAGATGGTCAACACCGAAATCAGATTGATTATATTCTTTGCAGCCAAAGATGGAGAAGCTCTATACAGGCAGCAAAAACAAGACTGGGAGCTGACTGTGGCTCAGATCATGAACTCCTTATTGCCAAATTCAGACTTAAATTGAAGAGAGTAGGGAAAACCACTAGACCATTCAGTTATGACCTAAATCAAATCCCTTATGACTATACAGTGGGAATGAGAAATAGATTTAAGGGACTATATCTGATAGACAGAGTGCCTGATGAACTATGGATGGAGGTTAGTGACACTGTACAGGAGACAGGGATCAACACCATCTCCATGGAAAAGAAATGGAAAAAAGGAAAAATGGTTGTCTGAGGAGACCTTACAAATAGCTGTGAAAAGAAGAGAAGCCAAAAGCAAAGGAGAAAAGGAAAGATATTCCCATTTGAATGCAGAGTTCCAAAGAATAGCCAGGAGAGATAAGAGAGCCTTCCTCAGCGATCAATGCAAAGAAATAGAGGGAAACAACAGAATGGGAAAGACTAGAGATCTCTTCAAGAAAATTAGAGATACCAAGGGAACATTTCGAGCAAAGATGGGTTGGATAAAGGACAGAAATGGTATGGACCTAACAAAAGTAGAAGATATTAAGAAGAGGTGGCAAGAATACACAGAAGAACTGTACGGCTCTCCTCCAGCTGCGCGGATCGGCCCGCGCGCGGCCTGCGGGCCGGAGTGAGACCCATGGGTGCGCGGAGCGCGCGGCTCGGGGAGTGGGGGATGTGGGAGCACGGGACCTCGGAGCTGTCCCTGGGGCCCGCTTCCTCGCCGAGGGGGGCTGGGGACCACAGCCTGGGGAGCTGCTCCTGGGAAGCCGGGGCTGCTGGCCGTGACGGCTCGGGCTCCTAGCGGCGGGCTCCTAGCGGCAGCCACCGCTCTGCCACCTCCCTCTCCCTCCCCGCGCTTCCTCTCCGCCCACCGCGCTCCAGCCGCCCAGTCGCCGCTGGCTCAGTCCTCCGCCACCCCGCCCTCCCCCGGAGCCGCCGCGCCCGCCCGCGCCCAGCCATGGGAGACCTGCCTGGCCTCGTGCGCCTCTCTATCGCCCTGCGCATCCAGCCGAGCGACGGCCCGGTTTTCTACAAGGTGGACGGGCAGCGCTTCGGCCAGAACCGCACCATCAAGCTGCTCACGGGCTCCTCCTACAAGGTGGAGGTGAAGATTAAGCCCACCATGCTGCAGGTCGAGAACATTTCCATCGGTGGTGTGGTTGTCCCACTGGAACTGAAGTCTAAAGAGCCTGATGGGGACAGAATCGTATATACAGGAACGTATGACACAGAAGGTGTGGCCCCAACCAAGAGTGGAGAACGGCAGCCCATCCAGATCACCATGCCGTTCACTGACATTGGGACCTTCGAGACAATGTGGCAGGTCAAGTTCTACAATTACCACAAGCGAGATCACTGCCAGTGGGGAAGTCCCTTCTCCGTCATTGAGTACGAATGCAAGCCCAACGAGACCCGCAGTCTCCTGTGGGTGAATAAGGAGTCCTTCCTCTGAAGATAGCACTTTCTGATGCTGCTGGACAGTCTCTTCAGAGATCCACTTTTAGATAATCCAGCACAAGGCTTCACTGAGGCACACCAAACCATTGCCAGTGTCCTGTCTGGTGCCAAGGACCCACTAGCCCCAATTATTTTTGAAAGTGTAATTCCCCTCTGATGCAATATCCCTGACACAAAAGATTGTGATGTTCCCTGCCCAAGAGGCTCTCTTTCTGTATTCTGTATTGATATCCCTGCCTCCAATTGTTCTTGGTCACCCTGGTGACTTCTTGGAGGAGCTTTGTGGAATCTGCAGGCCCTGTCCCACACTTAACTTCTCCACTGATGACTGTGCTGTTCTGTTTCCAAGTTGAGTGCTTCCCTCTTTTTTGTTAAATGTTAAATAAAAAATAACAATGTGCGTGGGTTCCATCCCAAGTATGCTATGGTAACATGTAACTTGCAATGTTTTCCAACTCTCAACGCAGGCTTTGTGAAAATGTGATGCACACCACAGTCAATGGGACTCAAGTGTTGTGCTTTCTATAAACAGCTTGGCTTTTTCAGGGAAGGATAATGACAGAAGAAAAGGACAAATGTTTGAGTATTTGTAACTTATTAAAACTCAAGTGATGTATTGTGCTGTGGCCTAGTGAAAGTAGGAAAGAGCCTTGTGTGGACCACTGTTGAGGTGACCAAAAGTGACAAGATTACCTTTCTGGAAAGTGATTGTGTTGTCCAAACAGGCATACTGATGGCCTCCCTACTTTCCCCTTCACTCGAACTTTGTAAAACTGTGTATGGAAATGTAATCAACTTTTGATATTTCTTAATAAAGACACTGAAAAAAAAAAGAACTGTACGGAAAAGGTCTTCACAACCCAGATAAACACGATGGTGTGGTCACTCACCTAGAGCCAGACATCCTGGAATGTGAAGTCAAGTGGACCTTGGAAAGCATCACTACGAACAAAGCTAGTGGAGGTGATGGAATTCCAGTGGAGCTATTTCAAATCCTGAAAGATGATGCTGTGAAAGTGCTGCACTCAATATGCCAGCAAATTTGGAAAACTCAGCAGTGGCCACAGGACTAGAAAAGGTCAGTTTTCATTCCAATCCCTAAGAAAGGCAATCCCAAAGAATGCTCAAACTACCGCACAATTGCACTCATCTCACACACTAGTAAAGCAATGCTCAAAATTCTCCAAGCCAGGCTTCAGCAATACGTGAACCATGAAGTTCCAGATGTTCAAGTTGGTTTTAGAAAAGGCAGAGGAACCAGAAATCAAATTGCCAACATCCGCTGGAACATCAGAAAAGCAAGAGAGTTCCAGAAAAACATCTATTTCTGCTTTATTGACTATGCCAAAGCCTTCAACTGTGTGGATGACAATAAACTGTGGAAAATTCTGAAAGAGATGGGAATACCAGACCACCTGACCTGCCTCTTGAGAAACCTGTATGAAGGTCAGGAAGCAACAGTTAGAACTGGACATGGAACAACAGACTGGTTCCAAATAGGAAAAGGAGTATGTCAAGGCTGTATATTGTCACCCTGCTTATTTAACTTACATGTAGAGTACATCATGAGAAACGCTGGGCTGTAAAAAGCACAAGCTGGAAAAGATTGCCAGGAGAAATATCAATAACCTCAGACATGCAGATGACACCACCCTTATGGCAGAAAGTGAAGAGGAACTAAAAAGCCTCTTGATGAAAGTAAAAGAGGAGAGTGAAAAAGTTGGCTTAAAGCTCAACATTCAGAAAACTAAGATCAGGGCATCTGGTCCCATCACTTCATGGGAAATAGATGGGGAGACAGTGGAAACTGTCAGAATTTATTTTGGGGGGCTCCAAAATCACTACAGATGGTGACTGCAGTCATGACATTAAAAGACTCTTACTCCTTGGAAGGAAAGTTATGACCAACCTAGACAGCATATTAAAAAGCAGAGACATTACTTTGCCAACAAAGGTCTGTCTAGTAAAGGCTATGGTTTTTCCAGTGGTCATGTATAGATGTGAGAATTGGACTGTGAAGAAAGCTGAGCGCCAAAGAATTGATGCTTTTGAACTATGGTGTTGGAGAAGACTCTTGAGAGTCCCTTGGACTTCAAGGATATCCAACCAGTCCATCCTAAAGGAGATAATTCCTGGGTTTCCATTGGAAGGACTGATGCTGAAGCTGAAATTCCAATATTTTGGCCAGCTGATGCGAAGAGTTGACTCATTGGAAAAGACCCTGATACTGGGAGGGATTGGGGGCAGGAGGAGAAGGGGACGACAGGTGAGATGGCTGGACAGCAACACCGACTCGATGGACATGGGTTTGGATAAACTCCATGAGTTGTTGATGGACAGGGAGGCCTGGTGTGCTGCAATTCATGGGGTTGCAAAGAGTCGGACACGACTGAGTGACTGAACTGAGCTGAACTGAACTGAGAGAGAGTATCACTAAATGCTTGCATTAAAAAAGAATAGGGGTCTCACATCAATAAAGTCTCTGCATAAGAAACAAGAAAAAAGCAAGTAGATCCCAGTGTAAATAGGAATGAAATAGTAAGGATAAGACCAGAGGCCAATAGAACAAACAAACAAACAAAAAGGGAATATACAACACAAAACACAAATTTGACAACTTTGATGAAATGGATTAAATTCTTGAAAGATAGAAACTACCAATAAAGCTAATCCAAATAGTGCTACATTAATTAAAGAAATTAAATTCAGTTTAAAATCTCCCAGC